CCGTGTTTTATTTTCATTATCATTACTTTTGGATCACCCCTCGTATGTTGCAAATCCCCTGGCTGCTGCTGATTTTATAACTAAGCAAGTTTGTATGATTGTATGAGTATAATTGCGTCAGTAAAAAAAGATATAAGACCACAGTTTCTTGTCGCTTCTTCTGTGGTCAGGTCTAGTTTTGTGAGCCGGTGGTAGTTTTTTGTTCAATAAGAGCTTATATAAAGCCTATATTGAATAAAGAACTATTGACTAACGTTTATAAATATATTCAAGTAAGTGTTTTTTTAGGTATCTCAAATAAAACAATACTTTTGCACTACTTTATTTTCCGAATATTAGGATATGACGTACATTAAATTCGACACATTTAGCTTACATTTACATCTAGAAATTGTACAGCAACGGAATGTGAAACTGCAAATTATTGTATACGGTTCTAAGATATAAATGATATATAATATAAGGATATATAATATATAATATAGGTACTTAAATGTAAAAAGACAAGCCAATTATTACGACATCTTAAAGACGAATAAAGCACTAATATTTGCAGCCTACTGGAGCGAACACATAATGTGATATTTAGTAAGCTTTCTCTGATTCTCATAAATTAAACATAGAAACTGATGGGGAGTCTCTGAAAATTTTCAACAAATATAACTACACGTAAATTAAACTGAGAGAATACACATGAAAAGAGAGAAAGAGTCTTAGCTTAATATATGTTATAAAACTCGTAATTATGCTACTAGTTCACGATATTAAACTTACAAAATGTATATTGTTTTATTTATCATCACACAATTATAGAGTGAAAGCTCACGTTTAAAAGACATAAATATAGAGTATATTCCTAAAACCTTACAATAATGAGAAGGTAGCAAAATCTTCCAAATGCAAAATTTTCTTTTTACCAAAATATACGCTGTAATAAAATTATTGTAGAATTTCTAGGGGTCCTTTAGTATTTTCATTATTCAAGTTTTTGGATTACAAAGGTATACAGCATAAAATAAAAATAATAAATGTTTTAGAAACCATCAGGCGCAAAAGTTTTTCTCATACAACGGACACTTTGAGACAAATTGATTATTAGAATTATATTAATAAAAGATTATTACTCATTACTAAAATGTTATATGTTTCATGTGTATAATGTTGTGTTAAACATATACGTAAGTCTAAAAGTTCCTATCACTATGGTTATTAACTTTAATTATAGTTTCAGTATCACTACTGTATATTATCTGGTTTGTCCAGTAAAGATTAATGAATATGTAAGAAATTCTACGCATGTGACATATCTTTCACACAACATAGCATTCGTTCTAAGTAATATTAGTTGAATAATTGTAATAGTTTTATAAAATACCACAGCAAATAATATTACAACCTACCCTATTTGATTGACCTAACATATCCCGTATATGTCGGATTCCTGGAATTATATAAAATCCATAAAATTAGATAAATGGTTTTCACGGATATTATCGAATACATTACGTGTAACTTATTCTATAATAAAGGAATATCCTCGTATGTATCATATGAAATTTTATGGAATCTATAATATGTGTTTATTTACTAACTTAATTTAAATAAGATAGACGAGTGTGAGTATAACTAACATTAGTCATGATTAGATAGACGACAGTACATGGAATAAAATGTCTCCTACCCTATATTATTTTAATTTGCAATTGACGCACATGCACAGGATATTGTCTTATAGAGAAATGGCCAAACAACAGTAAAAGAATTTGCACATAGTCTCACTCTGCAACTCCTATAAATGTATAAGCAATAAAAAAATACAGGTAATCCACATAATTTACAGCAGATTGTTGTTTGATGTTGAGTGGCTTCGTTGTATTATTGAAATTTAGTACTAAATTAATTAATAAAACTAATAGAAAATTTTTGGAAAAACATTTTTCTAAATATGCTTGAATGGTAACAGACGATGCTTATATAGAAAGTCTTTGGTAGATTAGGCAGAGGACTTGCGCATAGTCAACGTGCAGTGTAAATGTTCTTTTCTGTGTGAAATTATTTTTCATTTTTTTTTGTTAATTTAATCCCCCAAAATACGTAACGCATATTGAGTTTCTCTATAAAACATATCTATTAATGAACCTCACCATATTTTTCGCCCAGGAATTATTTAGCCCATAAGATAAAATGATAACATAGAAATTATTAAAAAATTAAAAAAAATAAAGTACTTAACCGTGATAAAAAAACATACTAATCAAAGAAAAAAATTTCGGCGTAGAGCGGTCAGATAATAAAAAAAAATTTACCCCATAATTATTAGATAATTGTACAAAAATTCAATATTTCCATGAACACTAATTTCGTTAATAAATATGGTGGTCAATAACATGTGACCTCGCATGAAATTATAATCATAATTATATATTTAGGTTACAAGCATATCTTTAACCTAAACAATTTTACCTGTTAAGACGATGTGTGTGCATAATTATGTTTACGGAACCCAAGTGGAGCGCATGCACTTAAAGGGTTATAAAATTTACTTAATAAATAACCCACCAAATATGTAAGGGTCCACGTAAAGCAATCACAGATCGTCCCACAATAAACAGCACGAAGCCGCGAATAATAAATGTCATATTATAGAGTATTTAATCATTAAGCAGTCTTGTGAATGGTAATAACAAATTTAAAATCTGTGACCCCAGGAGGAGTCGATCAGACTCACATATATGACTCTACCAACAGTTACTTGTTGTTACTGAAACTTTAACAAATGCCATGTAATACGATAAAAAAATCTCTCCCTACAGCGCCGTTTACGCGTTTGGTGTCTTCAAGCATTTTATGAGCGCCATTATATTTTGAAAAAGACCTCGAAATATTATCGTAGAGCTCGTTATTCGACAAATTGCGTTTTTCGGTGTGAACTTCATGCTGGCCTCACTTGCAGAGTGTTTTCAATATACCCAAGAAGTTTTCTTCCCCAAAGTTGTCGGTTCAATGAGCTTAGTGCCCTGCAAATTGCCACTTCAGGTTGTGAATGTTTTATTGTTCTTTGTGGCCACTTTTTGTAGACAAATAGTTCTATTTCTGCTGCCAATATCAGCGTTGAGGCTTCTAGTGCGCAAGAAAGCCCGCTGAGCAATTCGGGTCTTCCTCTGGAATCAACAATTACTGTTCACCTCAATCTTGTGACTTTTCGATACATTGGACGATGAGATTTAGATCAGTTTCCCAACGCTCTGTAGCTGAGTTGGATTGGCCGCTGAATTAAAGTTGGGCCCACCTAAACTGTCGATTCATCGACTTTCACCATCGGAGTATGGCCTTCAGCGAATACAATTTGATTATTCTGAGTATAAGATGCGTAAACCCATTGACGAACTTCCAATCTTGACCACATTGTTGATAAGAGACCTATGGAAGTTAAGCCCGCACTTCGGGATAGATTGTTGCCCTACCGATGGTTAAATTGTAGTAAGTTCAGATCTCAGAGTCCTGTTTCCATCGAGTTCTTTGGAATTCAGATGACTTATTAGGTTGGCAGCATGCTCTCCGTGGAAGATTCTCAACAGCTCTTGCCTCACCTTGTGTTTTGTTATTTCCCTGAATTATTTACAATGTACATACTTTTTCTGTGTATATTGTGCCAATACTTTTGTATGAATTTAAGAAATTTTCGTTCAGTGTAAGTTTTTTATCACACTACGTGGCTAAAAATGAAGACGTGAAATACATAACATAGTCGAAAGGATGTTACGGTAACAAACAAGCATAATAGGAATAAACATTTAAAATATTCAACACTTAAAACTATAATATATATTTTGGTGTCGTTACAGTACTACATATATATTAATTTTTATCTGGGCAAGAAAATGGATGCTGTGTCGAAAAAAACCTACTCGCATTTTGCATTTGAAACATGTTGAATAAAATTAAAGGAACTTTTTTTTGAATAATAAAGAACTTATTAGCACCAAGTCAGACTTAGAACGATAAAACTTTTCAAAAATTCCAATATCATTATAAACCCTTAAATTAAACAGGAGGAATAAATGTATCAAAAGTAAATAGCGATTAAACTTGATTGTTAGCCTAACTTGGACGATTGCATTAGTAACACATCCTTATAAATTAAAAGCTAGTCTTCGAATTTGGTAACGAATGTCGAGACCCCAATAGTTTTCTTGCACATTGTATGTTGCCTAAAATATTTATATACATACCTTGTATATCAAAACACATTATTATCTTAAACTAACGCTAGATATAATGAAACTATCAGTTCTATATCTTTACGTACGTGTCCTTAAAGTGAAAAGATACAACACCAATTAATTAATTTTCATGATTTAGACTTATATTAATTTCATATTGTTGGTGTATATATATGCCAATAACGTATATATATAGTCATTGGCGTAGTTGGGTAGAACTTATTTCAATAATATAACTTTTGTAATCATGCTCGAACATTTCTCTTATTTTTATCATTGAATTTTCATTAAATACCTGCGTGCCTACGAAATTTTTCCGAGTTCCCCTCCCCTTTTTCCAACTTTCTCTCTGAACATTATTATTGTGAACAGCCTCTACGAGTTTGTTCTATTCCTAAATATCAACTTAGATTATTAATTTTTTTTTTGTTAGACGGTTCGGACAGTTAATATTGAAATAGGCCAGGAAACTTCGTACCAGCAACCGTTATTATCGAATCCTATAATTTAATTTTCAAATCAAAGAGATAACACAATACTCTTATCGTCAGTACTTTTAAATACTTTACATTCAAGACTTAATGAAGCGTGTATCACGACACAGACGAAACACAATAACGAAAGTTAAACGTCGATTTTTTAAAGGACTGCCTACTTCACTGTCCACATGATATATCTCATAAGAGCGCGGCCGTTCCCACAACTGATTACGCGAAGATCAACCGCTGCTGTACCTACGGGCTACGCCTATGGTCTAACCCAGGGCTGCATAATTCAAGTGATGACCAGACGCGGCGATGGCAGCACGTTTGTGTGCTCCGCGAACATCATGGCCGCGGTCCACTTGAGCTGGTCCTCCGTTACCGCGCCGGCCACGGTGCAGCCGAACCAAGGGCGCTCCTTGCTCCTGTACATTACAGCGACGAGGTTGTAGGGATGTCGAAAAGATATCGATACATGAATATTTTGGTTGTATACATCGCTACATAATATTCAGTATCGAAAATCGTATCAAAAATTATATTTTATCAAATTCGAATCCCGCACAGTCCATTGGTGTCAAATATTTGATACTTTACATACAACATGATTCACTTGTTCGGCCGATCCTACTTAGGCGGGATAAGGGTAGGAGAAATAATTATACATCACAACTGAATGGAAGCAATAGAAAAACCAAATTATGACGATATTAATAAAAACAGGCTGTGGGGAAACTCACCTCTTGGGTTTATTGTTCCTGGGTATAAAGGTGATGGCCCATCGAGACTGCGGATTCCTTTTCGGCTCGTGACCAACGTACCAAAGGATGTCTTTAACGTCCCACTCATCAATCTTCTGGGAACCCTTTAAGGGGGTAACATTATTAATAAAATTCTCTATTACGGAAAATAATGTAAATAACTTGCAAAAAAACTGAATACTATCAATAGAATTCAACACCTAACTAACGGCAATGCCCTCACCTGCTTGTCTTTGAAGTAGCAAAGCTTCGTCTTGTTGAATTCGAACATATGCAGCTTGAAGCTCTTCGAGGATTCATTGGCCAAACGTAGCTCGCCGCATACCAGTGATGTGGTGTGCCTCATGGCGTCCATCTCCTGCAGGACTTTATTCTCCTTCACAAGCAAGTAGTTGTCCTTCCTGTCTTCCTCGTCCCAGTAGCCCCAGCGCAGTACGACGTCCAGAACAATCTCGTCTATGTGGACGATCCGACGCATCGCATCGTTGCAGATCACCTCTTCTAACATTAGCAGATGGGGACTCCATATTTGCCTTTCCGCAGAGTTCGATGCATACATCTGCACTTGTCTTATTCGGGGTCAACTGTAGAAGCCAAATATTTTTTTTTAACAAAAAATAGCTTTCCCAACTGGATACAATATATTAATATTTTTTTTTTTCTTATAAACCGGCCAGTATTTAACCAACAACCTGTTTATTATATGTGATAATTTAGTAATAAAACCTGAAATCTGTTTTGTTTCATATGAATACGTCGTAGACAAAGGGATTAATTAGTGTGGATAAAGTTAATTTTGAAAATTCTTTTCTGAACAAGCGGTTACCACCTAAGATTTAATTCCTGCTTACTATTTATACAGATCAGTTAATATAGTAGCAAGGCCTGGCCAGTTTTAGATTTTGAAAAATAAAATAAAAATGAGACTGGTGCAAATTTCCTAAGATATAAAGATTGAGCCTGTGGCGAGCCGATCGCGCCATCAGAATGTGTAGATCACGCGATTTACTCGCTTCTCAACAGCCCTTCCAAACGCGGAGGGCCATATCAAACTCTAGCTAGGCCACGAGTTCTCCGTTCGGTGAAGTTTTAATTGTCTACATACAGAAAGCAAAAACAATTCATCTCGCTAACAGTAAGGAAGTAAAGCAACAGCCACTGCAGGGCAAAGACCACTCCTGTGTACACAGGGCTTTAGGGCATAGTCCACCACGCGAGCCCATTCGGATTGGCAGACTCCGCATATCTCCGAAACATTTGTTCAGTTGTTATTCCGTTACGGCCGGTCTCAATATTCTATCTATCAGTAGCTTTGGTCGTTGTAGATTTAGTTTCGAAGTAAGTATTATGGAGCTAATGTCAAATATCGGTTACGATGGATAGAATAACGGAACCGGCCGCTATCCGATATAGGTGAGCATCGAGACACTGACGACTATCTGGTAGCAGTTGTGGCGGTCGTGCACGTAGACCCAGGCGCGCAGGTCGCCGGCGGTGCGCGGCGCGGCCGGCGCGGCGTTGGAGAGGACGCGCGTGAGCACGCGGCGCACCGCCGCCTCGCGCGCCCTCTCCGCCTGCGTGGGCCGCCACACCGCCTCGTAGTTCGCGATCAGGTCGCGCACCACGTACACCTCCTTCGAGGACCACGCCGTCTGCAGCGCGTTGCTCGCCTGCCGCGACAAATTAGACCGGTGACCGTCCCGCTCCAAGCTACGCGGGCCGTTGGCGGATAGTAGCTAACATCACCGCTTTGCAACGTGTCTTCCAAAGTTTTGTTCGCTTCTAAACTTTTGCGTTTTAGTGTTGGCCGTTAGCGCATCTGCCATCGCTCGCCCTTATTAGATTATTAGATTTGGAAAGGCAGTCCCTTATCTAATACAACGCGAAACCGGGCAGAACTTATTTCGATTGGTAAACTTTGTTGTATTCATGAAGCATTACATAATGTTTCCGTCGTTAGGGTTAGACACAATGTTTACCAATACGTCTTAAATAGTAGACAGTAATAGTGGCCATCATTGTCATGTTAATGACACAACGTATACTACTCAAAGTTGAAACAAAAGAAATGTTAAAGTTGGGCTGGGATATATGGGACCAATAAATTCTGAAGCAATTCATTTACGAGACAGGCGATATGATTAATAATGTAGTCAATATAGGTAAACGTGATAAAAAAGTATGAGCAGACAATTCCGTGATACTTAAACATGTGTATACATCAAAATAAAATGTTTATTCCTACCACCATCTTGTTTACGATGTACCCTTCGTGAACTTTAAACAAGATGGCGACCGGACCGCATTGTACTTTACTTTTTATTTTATTGGATGTTTACAGAATTAAAGATAGGTGTGATGGAGCAAAGACATTAAACAATCTATTAATAACTATATCTCGTCTGAGTAATTTCCATATATTTATTGATAATAATTAATGCACGCTACTAGAAAAAGACGAACTTTATAAATTAATTAGTCTTAATTACTACGAAAACTATACATGTTTAAATTGTAGTTTTGCTAAATAAGCCAAAGTTGTTAATAAGGAATTAGCCATTGGGCTTATTCCAATCCAAAAGGAACAAAGTAATCTTGCAAAACAACTTGGGTTCCGTAGCACTAAGAGTATGCGAGCTAGAATTATAAATGTTTATAAAATTAAAAGAACTTTATTTAAAGAAATACTCATAATATAAAAAAATGCATCGGTTTCTAGATATTAATGATACTAAAATGCTTTTTTTGTAATTACATCAAAATGAATACTTACTTGAAGTTAAATAAAAAGCAAAACCCACACAAACTAAATTCACTTACAGATTACATTTTATAAATATCCACCAACAAAATCACAACGTCGTACTACCGCGTCGGTCGGGATCAACTGCGCGGAATGCAGGCGAATGCAGGGAAATATATGAGCGGGGCGGTCATTTGCGCAGACTCAGAAGCACACGTATAAATCTCTATGTGGCGAAACCAATCGATACGGCTAGACAGACTCCCGGCGGCGGTCTGGGATACCTAATAAACTATGCGGTACATCCGACGGACGAAATCAATCAACGGTGTACATTTCAATAGCGAGGTATCCCTATGCACCAACAGGAAAGAGACGGATGCACGTCGGCTGCAATATCAGACGCTAACAACGACTGCGCCTGTATACGAAGTTCAACGCTCCTAACTTTGCACATCGGTATGTATATAAAATAATCCGTCTGGGCGGTTATAGAAATGGTATTTTGTATGTTGCCGCCCAGATGGGGGGGGGGGGGGGGCACGCGTGTGTGCCATCCCTCCCCGCATCCAATACAATGAACCGAGTCTAGTCTAGACGAATCTTTATAATTGTTTGGAGGAGTCTAATTAATTATACTCTCAAACAGTATCTTGTTTGTGATCTTTACAGATTTAGGTTAAGTTAAGAAATTAAATAGTCAAATTCAAGGTTCTACATTTGTAAATGTACAAGATATATAATTTGGATTATAATGACATTATCATCACATTCGCAGCGTGTGAGAAATAACGTATGTAAGTGAAATTTCGAAAAGGTTGCTTAAGATAATTATGTCTATTCAGAAATTCTTATACATTTCGAAACAGTTGAAAAAGTATGTACGTGTACTTATGTGCGCAAGTTGGAAGTTATACTTCTTTAGCTTAACAAAAGAAAAATAACAAAAAATTTTATCTATCAGTATTATTTGTTCATGAAAAAGACAACATGCAAAGGATAACAAATTCAATGATGTTTAATAATATACATGACGCATGTCTATACTGCGCGGTTTTAAAACTGTTCCGCTTTGCGTTTAATTATGAAATATATAAGTGACTGACAGATGATACAGAACGTATGGAAAGAGATAGTAGTCTATAGAATTGCAATCTTTTTACAGCAATCGGTACAATTTGAGTTCCACAAATTCGATCTTTGTTCTTATATTTCTTTGTCTTCTTATATTAATACTAGCGACCCGCCCCGGCTTCGCACGGGTACAATGCTGAATGTTTGTTTTCGACATCGTTTAAGAAACCTCTAAAATTATCAGTGTTTTTCACTACTATATTATGCATGAATTATTATACATATAAAACTTCCTCTTGAATCACTATCTATTAAAGAAAACCGCATCAAAATCCGTTGTGTAGTTTAAAGGTCTTAGCTTACATAGGGACAGACAGACAGTGGGACAGCTTTGTTTTATACTATGTAGTGATTATAAGTTTAGTAATACCATGAAGATGATCGAGGTTGGTCTCTGCAACCAACTTCATCCTATACCTTTTTGGCTGTCGGTGTGCGTGCGCATCGTACCAATTTTTTCTCACAATTTTTCTACTTGTGTGAGGTATGTACAAGAGATGTTTCACATTCAAGAGAGTTTTTTTTCAATACTTATTTATTTAATTGCCAAATGCAATTACGTGCCTTTTGACGTTCAATTGTAATGCGAGCATAAAATGGTGATCTACGAATGGTAGTTCCGACCTTTTGACGGTACTTTTTTGTTTATATTTGTAAGAAATTCTATGTGACAAATGGGAAGATTCCTACCTTTACAATGGAGTTCCTTATCGCAGCTTGCGGGGATAGTGAGTTATTTGGAGGAATCGTATCGTTACAAACAGGTGACAACAACACCCATTGTTTTCTATTTTAAATAAAAATTTGACCGATTTCAGTTTAAAAACTACTTAAAATCTTACTAATAGGTAAAACATTACAAAAGGGGATGATTTCCGATCCCCTTAAGTCCATTCTTAATTTCTTAAAGAGGGCAGTATTACAAAGAAGGATAATATTACCTTGCGAAGCATCCCGCATTGCATTTCGAAACGTGAACTCTAATAAATCAATACCTCACCCCTACAGCATCGTTCTCCCACCGAGACCACCCGACAATGAAACCCCCTCGTCTGCTTTTACCGGGAAACCTGTCTAGACGTGCCGTACGGCTAATTACATTCCGAGTGTCTGGGAAATTCGAAAGTGGGGGATGATTTGAAAAACAAAACCATTTGCAGGAAAATTGCACGAACATTCTGTAATAATCTGTGCAATCAATCATATATGCGTTTGGGCTGTATAAGGTTAAATGGGGCCTCATACCGAGTTCACAATATTTAATTCCAATTCACAATATTTAAGAACCGTAGTAACGCTGTATAACATACCCCAAAAAATATTCTTATTTTCACTGATATGCAAACCCTATTTCAGAAAAATCAAAAAGTAAATGATATGCAGAATGTACCTACATTTCTACCCAATTCGCTAAACGACGAAAATTTTAAAAGACCTAACCTAACGAAACAACCTAAACGAACACTTACTTTTGCATAACAAACGCTAAGTTTACAGAAACGGCTCAAAGTGTGCTCCGCATTGCTCAATACACAACTTCGCTGGTCGGGATATGGTTTGTGTGGCATTTCGCAACATCGTCGATGTTATTGATGCGAAAACTGATCTAACACGCTGTTCCTTCTCGGCAACCGTTGGGGAAGCGGAGAAATACACTCTGTCCTTCACATAACCCCACAAAAAGATGTCGAAGGGTGTGAGGTCCATACGAGCAGGCCATAGCACCGGTCCCCCGAGGCCGAACCATCCTCGCGGAAAGCGAACATTAAGATGTTCTCGTATGTTGCGAGCAAAATGTGCTGAAACCATGGTGTTTCTTTCACGCGCAGAAGTTCCTCCTGGGTGCAAAATCGGAGGGTATCAGCTCCTGTGTACGGCGATAGTGATAAGGGTGACGATTGTCAAATAATCTGGTTCCCTGATATGACAGCTTACTAGGGTTGACAAAATTTTTGGCTTTTATAATTAATTATATTTTTAGGGGTTATTTTGTAACACGTTGTATATATAATGGTAGTATATACTAAATATTAGTTTCCGATAGATAGTATCTAAATTTTTGTAACTTAAGAAACAAGCTGATGAATTAACCGATACTTTGACCTTCTAACACTGATTTTTTTCGGCAGGTGCAAGAAATTAACGAAATGATTTTTTGCTAACATGGGAAATCCCTATCAACCATTTATTTAACTTTTGACATCTCGAATACTGATTGTCGAATTGCCATTTTTGCAAACAAATTTATTTATGAAAAAGTTTTATGCTATTTCAACAAACAAATAGCAAATTCTGTTTTGCTAAACGTTTTGTATTGTTTTATATAAATGTTCAGGTGCTTAAATAACAATTATTTAATAAATTGATATTCCATTTTTTCTTAACATTTTATTCTATAGAAATAATTAGTGTTTCAATAACTATTAATCTCGATTCAATTTTTTGTATTAGTTTATTGTGGTGTAATTTGTGTTAGTAATATGTTATACTCTTCATTTAAATATTGTTACGATTAGAAAATATCAGTCTCTGTACTCCAGGCAACACTGATTTATGTCATAGACCCACTTTCTTTTATATTGTCCATTCACTGACGTATCTATCAGTGGAGCCATAGTAGGAAAAGAAATATATTGTCCATCGCACAACATGTAATTTTTAACTAAGATTGATTTAACTAATTGAGCAAATATATTTTTATTTTTAAATGTCCACCATTTCAACATATCGAAATAATAATTGTTTCAATAACTATTAATCGATTAAACAAATTTAAATTCTATATTTGCTCAT